CACATGTAATATTAGCAGCATATGATATATGCATCTATGACATAGATCTGAGACTGAGTGAGGCTTGGGTGAAATAAACAGATGTGAACTCACATGCCTGAGGGGCAGGTTTCAGCACTTTTGCAGATAACGCAGAAATTCCCCCAAAATACTGACACTGTCTCAATCAATAGCTATCTTCTGTCATGTGCAAAGTCTTTTAGATATATGCCATTTCTGACCGCTGATAATGAATCATACAAATAAAATGAAAAGGGTTATGTATTGTTGGTTATATGGTTATGTATTACTTTTATTTTATATTCATGTATAACATATATTTCTTAGGGTTGGTTAATGTTACAAGTGCAGTGGGGCATGTTGTCGCTCTATATGGGGTAAGTTGTCAGAATGCAACCTCCCATTAAACATCTGTTATAGACAAAATGCAAATATACACTACCATTCATAAGTTAGAGGTCGGATTTTTCTGTTTTTGAAAGGAATTAATAAAGAAATGAATATTTAATTCAGCAAGGATGCATTAAATTGATGGAAAATGACAGTAAAGACATTTACGTTGTTACAAAAAAACATCTATTTCAAATAAATGATGTTCTGAACTTTCTGTGCATCAAAGAATCCTGAATTCTACAAAACATATTTCAAGGTTTTCATTTTTAACTAAAATGACCAAAAACAAAATACTGTTTTCAGCATTGATAATAATAAAATCAGCATATTAGAATGATTTCTGAAGGATCATGTGACTCTGAAGACTGGAGTAATGATGCTGAAAATTCAGCTTTGCATCACAGGAATAAATTACATTTTAAAACATATTTAAATAGAAAACAGATATTATAGATGTTAATAATATTTTAAATTGTTACAGTTTTTACTGTATTTTTATTGCCGTCTCAAACAAAACTGAATATAGATTTGATGACACTAACCTCGCAAACTTTGATCTTCAAAAACGAGTATCTTCAACAGTACCTCAGTGAACTCAACTTTGTTTCCAGACAGACTGATAAAAAATGCTTTTACTCTCTGACAACAATCAGATTAGAGCTTATAACATCAAAAAGTGTTTTCCAGTTTTGTGTGCATTGTTATGGATCAGAGTCGTCAGACAGTTAGTCCATAGACTGTGGGTGGATTGTGTGACATCTGTGGCTGAGTAATGTATGACATCCAGCATAACCATAGAGAAACGTGTGAGCAAATGAGCAGAAGAAAAGACATGAAGAGATGACACTCATTCTTAGAATCATCCAGATAATTCCCACATAGGCCTACGCTGACATTGCTGCAGAAAAATATGCCTCATTGTTATTTGTCAGAGGGTCATGAGGCTCTGGGAATGTTAGTATGAGCTGCATGTACAAAAAAAAAAAATTTAAATGAATAGTTCACCCAAAAAAATGAAAATTATATTGTCATTTACATGCCTATATGTCATTCCAAACCTGCAAAACAGAAAAGAAGACATTGGACCTAAATGACTTTCATTGTATATGGACAATAAATAAATAAATAAAAACATACACATTTGACAAGATCTAATGTTGGTCAGACAGCATTTGTCAAGTAAGGATTGGTCAGAAAGGCGGGATTTCAGGGTCAATTCAGAGGTGGTTCAGTTACATGTGTTTTTCACATACAGGTGTTACATCAAATAGAGGCAGTGTTTGCAGATTCCACTTCTTTTGGCTTTGGTGTGTAAGAAAACACTGGATTGCAGAGGAATAAATAGACACTCTCACAGAAGGTCTGAGGTCAGTCAGTTCCTCAAGGCAGAGAACTTTCAACACGTTCAAACACCAAAAAAAAAAAAATAATAAAATAACATTTTTGTAGTAGCTGGAAAATTGTTTTATTTATTCTAATGTGTTTTAAATGCATTATTTTAAATTGTATGTATTTACTGAATGTGTGTATATGTATATGTATATATATATATATATATATATATATAGTTTGATATTTCTGTGTCACCTTTTTCAGTTTTTACCTTTTTTGTGTTTCATAAAGGTATTTACAATACACTGTAGGTTTCATGATCATAACTTACACATGCCGAAAATTATTATAACGATATAATGTAGTGTAATGTAACTACAAGGTGTAGTCAACATCTGTGGCAAATTTCCCCATTAATGTCAAATGTATTTTTTCCTAGCCAAACTTGAGGAAAATGTTAACTTAATGTAGGTTTATAACATTTACATTTTAAATTCAAATCTAAAATCAAAGTTTTAGACTTTAATTTTTCTACTTGATTTCAAGTACCTACCCTAAATGTTCACTGGAGTAAAAAGAGGCAACTATCCAAGTCTTCCCTATGTAGTCTACATAGAGGAAGAAATAGTGAATGTTGAAGAAATTGAATATTTTGACAACAGCGGCCTCTTCGGGTTGTAGGCAACATTACAAGTCTTAGGTGAAATTAATCCTTTTTTATCTTTAGGCGTTTTGACAGAGTGCTTTTGACCGTTTAATTTAGCTCAGTTCAGTTTTTTAGCTTAATTAAATGCCATCTTAAGGAGATTTCTAAAGAGTATATTGGTGTGTGTGTGTGTGTGTGTGTGTGTGCATGTTTATGTGGACACAAATTTGTATAATAACATGGGTATGACATAGGTATTACAACGAGAAGGTGATTTATGAGGACATTTTCAGTGTCCCCGTAATTCAAAAGGCTTATAAATAATTCAGAATGAGTTTTTTTGAAAATCTAAAAATGCAGAAGGTTTCCTGTGAGGGGTAGGTTTAGGTGTAGGGTTGGTGTAGGACAATAGAAAATACGGTTTGTACAGTATAAAAACCATTACGCCTATGGAGAGTCCCCATAAACCATAAAAACAAACCTGTGTGTGTGTGTGTGTGTGTGTGAAAAGCAATCTTGGCTTGGCTTTAGGTCTCTTTGTCACCTTTTATAATGTACTCAGAAAGTGTCTATGACTGCAACACACATATTCAAAATATACTCCATTACACTGTGATTTTCAAAGCAATGAAACGGTTCTGATATGGTCAAATAAACATGATGTGTTTGTGGAAAAGAGTAAGGCCTTGATGTCAGTTTACTTTGAAGGTGTGGAAGAGACTGCCCATAGGGCATACGTAGGGGTGACAGGAGATTGGTTGTATTTTTATGATGCCCACTGTGAGGTGAAGAGGGATTGGTCACATGACAGTGATGCTGGATGAGAGGTGTGGCGCGATTGGGTGTGTTTTCATGAATGTGTTTGTGTGTTCTTTCTTTGGCACACTGTGAACTCCCACCACACAGACACACCCACTCAAACAAACACCTACTCAACACACCCACCATCTGTGTGACCATGAGCATATACTCTCTTTCTCTCTGTCTGTCGCACACATAGAAATACTGCCAAAGGTAGAATGTTTGAAACGATAAATCAGGATAAAAATTACAAAATTTCCTACACTATTTTGCATTTCCTCTCAATTTCACATTTTGTTTGGATTGATAGTTAGCCCCAACGTGACCTTTGACCCTGTCACCCTCTATATAAAGCTGAAACTGAATGAGGCTTCCATTTCACATTGTGTTAAGATCTAAATTGGCAATGCTTTATGGTTTAAGTGAATGTGAAATAAACAAGAACATTAGATAGATAGATAGATAGATAGATAGATAGATAGATAGATAGATAGATAGATAGATAGATAGATAGATAGATAGATAGATAGATAGATAGATAGATAGATAGATAGATAGATAGATAGATAGACAGAAAGATAGACAGATAGATAGATAGATAGATAGATAGACAGACAGACAGACAGACAGACAGACAGACAGACAGACAGACAGACAGACAGACAGACAGACAGACAGACAGACAGAAAGATAGACCGATAGACCGACAGACAGACAGACAGACAGAAAGAGAGAAAGACAGACAGACAGACAGACAGACAGACAGACAGACAGACAGACAGACAGACAGAAAGATAGACCGATAGACAGACAGACAGACAGACAGACAGACAGAAAGAGAGAAAGACAGACAGACAGAAAGACAGAAAAATAGACAGACAGAAAGAGAGAAAGACAGACAGACAGACAGACAGAAAGAGAGAAAGACAGACAGACAGAAAGACAGACCGATAGACAGACAGAAAGAGAGAAAGACAGACAGACAGACAGACAGACAGACAGACAGATAGACAGACAGACAGACAGACAGACAGACAGACAGACAGACAGACAGACAGACAGACAGACAGATAGATAGATAGATAGATAGATAGATAGATAGATAGATAGATAGATAGATAGATAGATAGATAGATGATAGACAGACAGACAGACAGACAGACAGACAGAAAGACAGAAAGACAGACAGACAGACAGACAGACAGACAGACAGACAGACAGACAGATAGATAGATAGATAGATAGATAGATAGATAGATAGATAGATAGATAGACAGACATTCACAAAAATACAGTCTTGATTTATTTGTTTATTATTTAGAATTTATTTACAGTCCTTGTTTATTTGTTTATTTATTATACATTTTTCAAAGGTCTTTCAAAAGAAGATCATGGTCGTCTGTGTTTAGGGTTTAAGGTTTTTTGTTTGTTTTTTTAAACTCTCTTCACAGAACAAACCACAAAACAAACAAACAGACAAATGCAGGCTACACTGTTTTAACAAACGAAAGTCACAAAAGAATGTTTTCTTTTAACAAATAAATAAATAGTTTACATTTTTCTTATTATGACAAACAAAAACGTTTTTGTTTAGATGTTATGCTAACAAACAAATATTTGTTTTGTTGTTTTTAACGAACAATCCGCAGAGAGGGAATCTTTGAAAGCGTTTAGATGAATAAACATGTCTGTTTTCGTCTCTTGTGTATGGACTAGGCGATGTCTGAAGCCCAGCCCTTTTCCATCAGCGGCCGCCGGGTCGCACTCGCGGACAATACCGCTACTGCGAGCCAACGCTCACCTCCCGTTATTCCTCAGCACATACACACAGAGACGGGCTTCCCGGAGTCTGCGCGGCTAAAAATACACAGGCACCCATTTCACTTACTACTCTTTAGGAAATCATTTTTAGCGTGGAGACAGACAGCGAGGGTCAAACACGTGTGTGTGCACCGGCGGGCAGCTCCCGGTGAAGTTTATAGACGGAGGGTCTCCTCTCTCCTGCGGATTAATCGGATTCAAAATCACTGCGAGTCTGTGGAAGGCGAAGCGTCGCGGTTTTGTTCCAAAGAAGTGCAGGTTTAAATGCAGGTGAGGAAATAACAACAACTCTTGATATAAAAACTGCTTTGGGTTTTATACTTTATGTTGTTGCGTGCTAGGTTTAACCTGTTATTTCTTGTGAACGCCGGAGTTAGCAGTAACGTTAGTGCACATAACTTCTGTGGAAGCTATTGTTGCTGATGAATTAACCCAATGAAATGGCACAGATTAAACAAAAGTTGCCAACACCGTTAAAATCCAAATGTCTAACGTTATGTGTGTTTTGCAGTATAACTGTGGATTTCACTTAAATGCTCACATTTGTGTGTATTCTAGATATGATTTTAACAAGAACAACTCTGTCAAATTTAGCAAGAATTATCAGTAACTGTTAGTTGTGTCATTACTCTGTATTGTCACGTTGATGTGTAGTTGCTTTATTTAGCTCATTCAGTCTCTGAAGTTGCAGCTGGAAGGCAATTGTTTGGAATGTCATTTGAATTCTATTTTTTTATGTTTATACTGGTATATATCGGTTTACATTAAATTTGTGATTCAGTGTTTCAGGTTAAACATGAAACTGGCTAGATACACCACCATGATAAACTTGCTGTCATGATCATTTTTTGCTAGATTAAAATGTTTTACACACACTCAAACATACAAAAGTAATAATAATAATAAAAAGAAAGGCACTTATTAAAAACAATTTTTATGAAGATAAGGATGTTTAATTTTGCATGGTGCGGGGCCACCCATTCATTCAATAGGTGCCGCTGACTGCTAACTTCACCTGACCAGCCATGCATAATACTACTATTACTAATATGTTTACTTTATACAGAGCTTTTGGCTAGTACTTTACAAATCCTCTAAGTGACAGTGACTAAGTAAGTGTTTCAATGTAAATCGGCAGCAGCTAGTAAATCTTAATACATCCAGGCCAGTTGGTGACAGTAAACAAAAAGTTACTGAGTGCACTTTTAACAGTAAACTCCCTGTGCTTAACTGGATTAGTTGTCAAAAAGTGCTTTTATGTGCACTTTAAAGGGGTCATGACATGGATTTTTATTTTTTATTATTTTAATATGTTCTTTGAGGTTTACGTATAAAGTTAATAAAGTTTTTTTTGCACAAACACAAAATAAATAAATGTGGAAAAATTATTATTTTAGCCCTCATTCTGAACCTCTTTCTAAAATGACTGTTTTTAAGGGGCGTGTCTTTTAAGGCTTCTCAGTAATCGGCCACTGTTATTATGATTGGCTAATGTCATTGCATAGGAAATGGTATCAATGCCCCCTCGCTATTGCATGTGTGTTTTGACAACATAATCAAAATAAAACGGTCATTTCCAGACAAAGTATTATTAAATCATTTACTTACAGTTTGTGATGCAGTTGCAGGCAGATACTACAGCTTCATCTTTCAACAAATGTTTCTTTGTGAACTCTCCATGACACTGTGCCTCGATTACAAAACAACATACCCCGATCAATCCTCTGACACGATCCGGGGTGCCATTAAAAATAAACTATCCAATTGTTCCTTACGGTGGGATCCTTCTGATATCTGTACAAAGACACAAGCGAGCTGTTTGAAGTATAGACTAGATGTATCCAGTGTAGACAAGATAGCGGCAGTAATTGTAATTTATATTTGCTTTTTGCCAGTATGCCAAATATCAAGACAAATTTGATGTGTCATGACATGACCCCTTTAAATGTTCGATTTCAGTTGGATTAAAGTAAAAATCCGTCTTTTTAAAATGTCATTGTGAATGCTTTGTTCTCACTGAAATCGGACCAGTCTGGTTTTCGTTAAGTCAGACTAACAGACCTAGACATTGCAGTTCTAGCTCGGCTTCATCCAGCATGTATCCAGCAGGATGAAAACTGTAGCTTAAATGCACAAAAACCTGCTATAGCTTGGTTAAATGGTGATCAGAGAAGAAGGTGTGAGCTACAAGGGTTGTTAATGAGCGTGTATTTTAGGAGGTCATGAATCTGCCTCCCAGCATCTGTTGCCTCATGGTGCATTCTTCGGCTGTTTGTACTGTATGTTTCGTTGTGGCAGGAGATCTTTAGATGCCTTTTAACCATAATGCACTGAAGTTGACATTTTAGTGATCTAGTACATCTGCACTGTTTCATGCTTTAGCCAAGAAACACAAAGCAGCCTCATATTTATTGTGGAGTGTTGTGATATCATAATATTCTCATATTGGAATGAGTTTAGATTATGCAGGGGAATTTTAAATAAGAGTCACCAGAGAACAAGATTTACTCTAATTCTATCTGTATGTTGCGTCTATTTATTTACCACAATTGATCAATTTGATGATGTTGGGTCTGACTGAAATCAGTCTGGTTTTTGTGCAGTCAGACTAACAGATATACACTGTAAGTTTTTTTTGTTTGTTTTGCCAAAAATTCACAATAACAAATATGGTGGCATATTGATGCCTGTATATTTTACAACTTACAACTATATATTTCATCAAGTGATATAATGCTAATTTACCAACCTACTTCAAGTAGCCTACCTTAAAATGTACTGATAACCACCAAAATCATACAGGAGATAAAATAAAATAGAAACCACATAATTAAACCGGTCTGATGAAAGTGGTCTGTCCAAAAAATGGCCAATACTTGTATATAGACAGTTCACAGGGTAATACAAAGGAAAAATACCATCATGGTTTTTTGTAAAAATTGCAAACAGCTTGGCTGTAAACTGTAGCTTGGTTGTATCTTGATTTGTAGCTTTAGAAAACACATTGTAGCATGATTATAACTGTGCATGTACATATTTAATGTGTGGCCGATGGCATCACCCCTCCCCCATTAGGAAAAAAATGTGATGAGGAAGTTCAAATACTCCCACACTCTCACATCCAGCAAATGTTATTTTGTTGCCAGATCTCACAGAAGGATACGTTGTGGGAAAGACCATGATGGACTTTCATCTGACTGTCTATTGCACTTTCCATACTCTGTAAAGGCTTTCTATCTTCTTCCGTATTTGGCCAACAAAGTAAACTTAAGTGCAGATATTTTTCAGGTCAAAATGATGAAACGCAGAGTATTATTCAATAATATCTCATAAATTTGACCCATCCCTTATTTGGTTTCTCCATATCTACCCATGGAGGAACACGTCAAGGTTCAGTTTACCTCACATGAGCATTTGCACTGTTTTATCTTCTTCATTATCTGCACAAAGATGTGAACGTCAAGCCAAAAATGTTGCGGTCTAAGTCAAAAAGGCTTCTCTTGTTTCCATCACTGGCTTTCTTGTATTAGCAGAAACCTTGCTCAAAGATGGCCATCTGCTTGCCGCTTTGTAGTTTCCTTCAGCACAATATCAGATTAACCCCTCACCTCATGTTCTATGGGAGTGTGGTGTGGAGCAGAGCGGGACGGTTGTAGCGTGAAACCATGGGTCTGGAGGGTGTTGGCCAGGGTTAACAGGTGGTAGCAGACATGGATCCTGAAGGACTGGCCCTCTCATTTAAATGCATAGCCTTAAATACTAGTCTCGGTGTTCTTGGTATGTAACTTAAACTCGTGATTTGTGATATTGATTGTCAGTTTTGTTCTAGCGATTTGATCAGCACTGTCATCAACTTATATGCGTCACTGAGCGAAATATTGCATATAGTGCATTCTAGTTTTTGATCTGTTGCTTCAGCTTTGTTAATGCTCAGTTAAATAGTGTTCAAAGAGGAAGGTGTGAGGTACAATTTTTTAATGAGTGTGTATTTTAGGAGGTCGTGAATCTGCCTCTCAGCATCTGTTGCTTTGTGGCAGAAGAGCTTCAGTTGACTTTGTTTTAACCATAAGGCACTGAACTTGACATTTTAGTGATCTTGTACATCTGCACCATTTTATGATACATCCAAGAACCACAAAGCAACCTCATAGTTATTGTACAGTGTTGTGAAATCATAATATGTTCACCTTAAAATGAGTTTAGATTATGCAGGGTTATCTTAAGTCCCCAGATATGTGGATTTATTCTACTTCAGTTCGTACATGTTAATGGTTGCGTCGATTTGTTTGCGAAAGTCGTTCGGTTTGAACTAGATGACGTCAGGCTTTTCTTTACACGCACAGACTTGTGTTTCTATACAAATACCAGGCATCATGAAACCTTGACATATTAGGGAATTAAAAATTGTGGTTTCCAGGCCAGGACAAGCCATAGAAATGAATGAATTCGTAAAGGCATGTGAAAGAGTGAACGTGAATTTTGCAAGTTATATTCAGCTTTAAAATATTTTAAGCAGTCCCTATAACATGATTAAAAAATAACTGGGAAGTTATGGAAAGTCATTGGTTAAAGCATGTGTAAAACCTGAAATAAACAGGCATTATCTTTTTCTAATATTCTGTTTTATTTCCTTACATTTTTTACGTTTTTGGTTTCTGTCATTGTTTTTCTTAAATCATTTAGTTATGATTTCCAAGCCCACACATAGAAGGTTACACACCCCAGAACTGGAAAATGGAAAGTAGATAAATAATATTTAGCATTTACAAGGATGTGTGGGAATGTGGAAAGAGCCTTGAGGAACAAAATGAAAGAACATGATAAATCTCTAGATTCTAATATCATGCCAGTGCTGCCATGGCAAGGTCAGTTTCCTCAAAGCTGTGGGTCATACCGCGAGTAATCTGAGAATGGGTTAGAAGATCAGATGCTCACTAATAAGACTGGCAAACAGATGAAAGCTTTAAAAGAGTTTTGAAATTGACTTGCTCTTTTTATTGTTGTAGTTCAGGTCAGCATGACCCACCAGAACAGAGCAGCTCTTAAAACCTTTAAAAGTGTATTATGACCACCATTATTATTTTAAAAGCGAAGCTGCTATATGGCTTAGTGTGATAATCAAATTGCAAAGAATGTGATTTAATTAAATATAGGTGCCGCGTGTTTCAGAGTGAAGCATGGCACTGTTTTCATTTACACACAAGCAGCTCATGATCCGGTGTTTTCAGTGTCTCGTTTCATAGTAAATGCTGCTTAACATGAACTCATCT